AAAAAAAATAGAAATCAACATTAATGGCTAGCAATTTAAGCCATGTAAGGTCAAAATTTTCAAGTTTTGCACATGGCTTGAATTGCAAGTGACCAAGCAGTCGAGCCCCTGCACACACCAACCATTTGCCTACACCTCCATCACCAAAGACCATCCCAGCACCAACCCTTACGAGCCTTAATGACACCTAGCCTTCACCCGTAAAATCCTAGCATCATGTCTTTATAGCCAATTGACAGCCATGCCTTACCTCACTCGAGCACCTCATAGAGCCCTAGCCGTCCCAAAATTCCTAAAACCTCAGCTCAAAATCTCCATTCCCAAAATCGACACCTACCCAAAAACCAAAGTTTCAACCTCTGTAACCTTCACCCTTGCAACAAGACCCATTATATTCCTCCGTAGCACCAAGCCTTCATCGAATAGAACAAGCCTTTCCCTACCTTATCTTAGCCAATCTCTGCACCCTTCACCAGTGCAACAGGACCCATTCCTAGCCTTTGCCAAACCCACCAGTCCCAGCACCATCACCAAAGACAACCTCTATACACTAAAACCCTAGTGAACCACCAAACGAAAGATCCTAGTTAAACCCCCCCTTATTTTCCCAAAATACCTAAAAAACCAAAAAAAAAACTTGAAACCAAAAAAAAAAACACAATCCTTCCCGTATAGAGGAACCTAGCACCAAGCCTACCTGTAAAAAAAAAAAGCAAAAAACAAAAATCAATCTTAGCTTAAGAAAAGAAAAAAAATAAAGAAAGGAGAAAAATAAGGAAAAAAAAAAATAGCCCTGTTAGGGATAGCAAAGGCAGCAGTTGCAAAGGTGATGAAGTTGCCAAAAACATATTGGGATTCATTAAGAATGGGCAACTTGTTTTCTTTGTAAAGAGAAAAGCTTGTTTTTTTTTTTTCAGAAGATGTAGGAAATGAATTTTAAAAAAAAAAAGGGTGACCCAAAATGGCTTCATCTGGCTTATGATCTGACTTCGTGGTTTTTGCTAGATTGGACCCACATGCTTTTGGCCCAATGCCCATTTTATGTTGGTTCACCTGACTTCTTTTATGTAAGGCTGGATTTGAACACAAAGACCGTCCAAGAAAGGTATAATGTCTCTTATGACTCTTAGCTTATATCTCTTTCATTTTATGTTGGTTTATTTTTTGTTTTAAATAAAAACTAATAAAATATTTATGTAAAATAATAATAATAAGAGAGAGAAACGTGGTATCGAAATTCAAATATTTGAAAAAATCTAAAGGTTATAAATTTATTTTTATTATATGTATCATGTATGAACTCTTGTATTATGTGCACTCATAAAATTGAATAAAAATCTTCTGATGATAGGATTTCAAAAAATTCGAGTATTGATTTTCGAGAATTCTCAATGTGAAAAGGATTTCTAAAATTACCAAAGTATTGAAATATTTAGAAATTCTTTTCAATACAAAAATTTTTATTTTTTCTTTAATTTAAACATTTTTTAAAAAAGGATTAAAACATATATAATGTTTATAAGAATATGTAATTTTTTAATAACTAATTTATTTTAAATATTAATAATTATAAAAAAAGATAAACTCGAAATTTCTAAGGATGAGATCTTAAAGAAATCCAAATAGTAATTCTTTAAAAATCTTTAAGTGAGAAAATTTATTTAAAATATCGCTAATATATCGAAGCACTTAGAATAATTTTCGATAAAAATTTTTTTTAATAGATTAAGAAATGCATTTTAAAATATTATTGGGATTTAATTATAGTTATTACATTTTATTACATGCACTATAAACATGGATTTTAAAGATAAATATGAATCACTGATGATAGGTTTTTGAGAATTTCGAGTAGCAATTTTTAAAAAATCTTTAAGCGAAAAAATCTCTTTTAATATTGTCAAAGTATTGAAATATTTTTGAAAATTTTTCAATATGCAAGATTTTTATTTATTTTTCAAAAATAAAAAAATACTAAAAAATAATAATAAATATGTTTTTTAAAATAAAAAATAAATAAAAAAATATTTTTTTTAAATACCGAAGTTAAGACCATTTTAGTCAAAAGTAAAGAGATAGCACATAAATAATTTATACTATTTTTTAATTGGCATTGTATAGGTGCTAATCCTTTCCTACGCCTAATTGATTCTCGAATCCAATTGTTTTCATAGATTTAAAAATTATCTTTTTAATAAATTTTAATTAATTTTAAAATTTTATTAAAAGGATAAGTTTTAATAGTTGGTCAATCATAATTAACCAAAAAAATATTGGTAGCGACTCTTTTTTTGTTTTTAAATTTATTTGGCGACTTTTAAAATCGTTACAACAACCAATAGTAAAAAAAAAAAAATGATATAAAACAACATAGAACCTAATAAGAACATGAACAAAAGCATCTTACTAAAAAGTTAAACAAAATTAAATCATTTTGGACAAACAATTGAAAAGAAAAAAATAAAAAATTAATAAAAGGAAAGCACCTGTGCCAATATCTGAGCCATATTTTTAAATAGCCATTTACTAGTCAACTCAAAATCTACAGAAGATCATTTTAGTTTATTAAGAGCTCAAAAATACCCTTGTATCAAAAAGGGGACAGAAATAAGAAAATTTAGAGAAAAAATGAATTCTAGCCTTACATTTTTTTTATTTTTTCACTGTTGCTATAGGATAGAGTTAAAATGGAATAATCAATGAAAAACTATACAACCAAACAAAGGTTCAAGGGATTAAAAATTCAGAATAGATAACAAATCTAGATAACCATCAATAACTAAGTTATTTACCAAATGTAGCAAAATATTCAACTTAAAGTTTTTGATCTTTACCATTATAAACTAAAATTTCCTCCAAAACCTTCAAGAAAGCAATAAATTCAACTCTCAATTTAGTAAGTATTAAAAGGAACATGAAACAAGAGTTTTAGTATAACTCATTAGATATGTCAACCTCTGGTATTTTCATCTTGTTCGCAAAAATGACCACGTGTCTACCATCGACAATTGATAACATCACAGGAAGCCGAAAATAAAAAAAAAAGAAAAAACAAAGAGAAGGATCTAAAATTTTGAATCAAGGGAAAGAGATTTGAGATACATATTGTTTAACTTAGAATTAAAGCACATTTTTATAAAAACAAACTTATTTTCATCTAAAACAATAACGTGCAAGAATAAAATTTTGTAAAAAAACACATCCACGACAACATACAAAATTTCTAACTAGAAAACTCAAAAACACATTCAACAATGAAACCAAAACATTGACAATGAAACCAAAAAAAAAAAAAAACAAAAAGCTACATTCAATGATGGAATAAAGAGAAAAAAAAATCGTACCAAAAAAATAGTTCTAAAAAAATGAAAAACCAAAGAAAAAAAAAGCAAAAACTGAGAGGAAAAACGAAAGATACCTTGTAACCTTAGGGGCTAAAACAGGTTTGTTACAAACGCAAACACAGACAACAAAGAGAAGCATTGAAAAAGAGAACAGAAATACCTGTCAAAAACAGAAAGAATAAAAACCAATAGGTATCCAAAAAACTGTATGATTCTCCATGATAATCAAAGATGCAACAACCAAAAGAGAGAAAAAAAAAAAAAGGACAGATGGCAGCTTAAAACTATTAAAACAAGAGAAAAGAAAAATAGTTTGTTAGTTGTTTCCTTGGAATCGTACAGATGACCGGTGTCTAGGTGGACAGTTCATGGAAGTTTCGTCTTCTTGACCCAAACGGAAGAAATTATAGAAAAACTTTCTCCATTACCCCAAATCCACCACAAAGACCAGAATTTTTTTTAATTATACTATAATATTTCAATGTCATTTGAAAAAAAGGGACATATGTGAATGTATTTTTTTTAACAAAAATAAGTAGTTACATTAGAAATTATCAGATTAAAAAGTGAAACTTTGTATTAGCCAAACATTGCCTAATCACAAATTATTTGTTATTTGTTATAAAACAAATAACATGATTTTTTTTTTGTTCGGTACAGTTCCATGAACATGTTTACTGTAATTTAGTTTCAGATAAAACATTTGAAGATAGATATGTTTCTTGTTTGAATAATGTGACATTTGTGCCTAGAATTTTGCTTTCTTAATCACAATAGATAATATGATGATGCTCACACCACAACACAAAAGAAAAAATTAACAAAGGCACAACGTGAGACTCACAGGAATCCCATTGTTTTATCCACCACTTTGATCATTGTCAACTTAAAATTGATTAAACCCTTTTTAACTTCTTCCATCAACAAAACACTAATAAAAAAAGATGAGACGAAGTCCACGTACAAATATTTTTGGTGGGTCTCAAAGAAGTGAGAAACACAGAAATTGTGAAGTGGGACGGCTGCTGAGGGACTAATTCCCACTAGCCCACTTTCATTATTAATTAAAAAAAAAAAAAACCCAAAATTGGGACGACTTGGCAAATAAGTTGACCCAACCACTCGCTTTCTTACCCTTGCTGAGTGCACCACATATGGGAATCCCATGGTCTGGTGCTTCGCTTCTGTAACATCCTCAAACTGCATTGTCCAATCACGTCCTTAGATGCTGCTTTTAATGCTGTTTTTGGTAGAAGTTGATCTTTCTCACTTTTTACGTATTTGGTTGGGAGAATTGGATAGGTCATTTTTATTTTTGGGCCAATAAGAGGAGAAAACAATGTCATGAATGATATTTTCCTCTTTCTTTTTTATTAATTTCTTTATTTTTTTAAAAAAAGTTTTTGTGGTCATTTTGATCTCAGTCCACATTTAATGGCCCTCATATTCAACAGTAAAATAATGGAATAACTTTGGATATTTGTAGTTTTTGAAAATATTTTTCATTCTTCATAAAAAAATCTTTATATTTTTTTTATTTGACAATTATCTTTTAATTTTTAAAATAAAGCAAGCTTAATTTGGGAAATTGACAACCTCTTTTTCAATTAACGAAAGTCTAGATAGATGTTCAACAATAGCCAAATTATGCGAGAAATTAACCTATAAAACAAATCAACTTCAAATCAGATCTTCATTAAAAGATATCAAAATCTAACAACAAAAAAATAATAATAAATAGCAAAAACAACAATTAAATGCAACCTTAGTAAAATAAACAAGTAATTTTCAACGTCCATTTAATTTATGATACAACATCTCAATCAAAACACACAATTGTGGAATGAAGCACCAAATCATTTCCAATGTCCCTCTTCCTACAACCGTTCACCTCTCTATATATTCCCAAACCACTCTAGCCCCGCCAAAATTTTCATTATTGAAAAAAAGAACAAACTGAGCATGGATTCCTCGGAAAACGGCTCTACCTCACTAAAGCAGCGGCTAACTATCGGCTTCTTTATTTCATTCATGGCTCTATGCGCCAAGCACGCCAGCCGAGTTTCTAAAAAGATCAAGCCCAAGACTAAAGAAAACGGCTTAGCTTCTTCCGACTCTCCGAGATTCTACGGGCCGAAATCACCTCTAAAATCTCCGAGGCCGAAGCGGCTTCTGAAAACGATTAGCAACAAGGCGATCACGCTGGTTCACCGGAAAAAGCTCGGGCAGGAAAACGGGAAAGATGTGGAGGAGTTCGGGGATGGCGGGGTATGGCAAAGGGCGATTCTGATGGGAGATAAATGTCAGCCGTTGGATTTTTCGGGTGTGATTTATTACGATAGCAAGGGGAATCAGCTGGATCAAGTGCCTATTCGCTCTCCACGTGCCAGTCCCCTGCCTGCCTACCTCGCTCATGGAGGGCTCTGATTAGGTCACCTCCCAACGTCGTTTAAAAGTAGAAATGAATCTGTTCTTCTCTTCTGGTGTAAAGTAAATAAGGTGACATGTGTTGCGTTTCTATTGGTGGTTATGAATTGAGCTTGAGGGTTGTGGGTGACGAAATCGTTTTCCTAAGGAAATAACCTAGTGGCAAGTCTATTGATTTTTATTTTCGATCAAATTTACTTATTTATTTTTTATTTTAAAAATTCAAACTTGATTTTTGGAAACATGAAACTATCATCAAATTCAATATTCAGATTTTTGAACAAAATCTTTGAAAGGATCAATTTTTAGATGTTTGAGGAACTTCAACTCCATGATATTATCATCTTTTAAAAAAGGGATAGGTGGACAAACAACGTTATTGTCTGTGTTCAACATGAGAAAATCTTCAAACATTCAAAATCAATCAATTTTATTCAAGTTTCTCAAGATGACACGATTTTAAAGGTTTTCCAACGATGACCCAGCTTCAGCACATCAGTATCTTACTATGGAAAGTTGAAATTTGAAAGGCTACTATTACAAAAGAAGTTTCAAATGTATTATAAGATGATGAGTCTTTTTGTACATTTGAACAAAATTTTACAATTAATTTTTTTTTTTATTTTGGTTTTTCAAGAGCATAATTGTTCCTCGTCATTTTGTATTTGTATAGATCATCAGATTGTTGCTTGAATTTGACTTGAGTGCAATAAGAGGCTATGAAAGATTGCATATAAATTTTGTTTCCAAGCCATAATGCTATCTTTTGTATAAAATAAGTACATAAAATAAAAATCGTCTTGACAGTTAGAATTTATGATTTTAATTTGAAAATTTGGAGTTCAAATTTTATGATGGATAAAACGAAATTAATGAAATGAAAAACGAATCTCTCCCAATTGAGTAAATTACAATAACACTGCTTTTGTTTCAAACCAAAATTAAATTAACAAAAAGTATAGAGCATCATTAAGAGTGTAACGGTTGATGAGTATACCAAATACCTAGGCAACATCTTAAAAGAAATTCACTCTGGTTTTCATTTTAAAGACATATTAATTGATGTTGGGGGGCAAGAATTTAGTCATTTAATTTATTTATATATTGTTTAAGAATAGAGAGATATCTTTTCTTGGATTAAATTTTTTATTAGAATTATTAATTATAGTGAAGAGCCCTTAGCATGATTGGTGTGAAGAGGAAGGTAGAGCTTTTGACTTCCTTACGTGTCCCTCGCATTTGGTATTTGCCATTTCTATCGACTTCGCCTTTTCGATTTCACTACACTCTTTAAGTTTCTTATTAGACAATGTCAAATTTCTTTTACTAATTGCTTCTTTTTGTCCCAAAACTACCTCATGTATTTGACCGCGTGCTATATATTTTGACTTTTCTTACTACAACTCTACTCTCAACAGGCTTAAACAAGTAATGAATCAACTTACTTTTGTGAAGGGAGGGCAAAATTTTTTACCACTCGTAGGTTGCTAATTAACAGGTTGACATTACGAAGAAGAGTGTAAAAAAATGTGTTTGCATTCAAAACTTTGAAAAGTAGAGGCCCACGTAAGTTGTTTCCAGTCGATCTGATCCGTGAAATCAAATGAATTTGGTTACGTCAGTACGGTTAAATTAGATTCGTTAATTATCAATTAAATTAATTGATTTTTATTTTTTTGAAATTAGTAATTGATTTGATTGATTTAATCAATTTTTTATTTGTATTTTTAAAAATAAAAAATTGATATTAATGGTAAAATTATAATATGAATTTTATTGAGTGAAAATTGTTGCAAAATTATTTTTTAAAATTGATGGAAAAAAGAATAAAAAAAAGTTTGATTTCTTAATCAAATAAATCAAATCGGCCAAATTTATATCGGTTTGATTATTTTTAATTATTAAAAATAAGTCAGTTGATTAGATTATTTTTTAAAGAAGAACATTAAATTAATTTTTGATAGTTTAAAATCAAGCCGGTGAAATTAACCGATTACTCACCCTATCAAAAAGCTTTTATGGAGGAAATGGATTCTGTAGCGTATCTCAACATCTATTTCTATCTCGGTGAATGACTCCGTCATCCCATTTTGTTCAAGAAAATGGATTGACATTTTGATTTTATTTTTTTATTTGAGAATGCCGAATTTAGATTCATTTGAATATTTTAATTGAATTTATCTTATTTATTTTATATTAAGCTTATTTGGATTTTATTTTAGATTACTTTTTTTCAATTACTTAACTTATTTATTTTGTTTGGACTCTATTTTAAATTAATTTTTCTTGGATATTTTGCATGGGTTTATTTCTTCAAAGTTTTGGCTGTATTTATATTGTTTGAGGTTTATTTTAGATTAATTTTTCTTTGATCATTTTGCATATATTTATTTTAGATTAATTTTTCTTCCATCGCTTGCATAAATTAAAATTCAATCCAATTTACAGTAATCCATTCCAATTTAAAGTTGACTAGTATGGGCTTGTAAATTCAAAAAGCCTAATGATGAAACCCAAAGTCCAATAATAAAACCTAAACAGATTGTATCAACATAATTAATTAATTAAAAATGAATTAGTTAAATGAATTAAAAATTCAAAAAAAAAAAGTCGACTGCACAGCTTCCCTTCCTCTCACTTTCTTTTACCCACGTGCAACAGACCCGAAACCCCCAGATTTCATTTCCGCAAAATGCAGTAAACCATCCCCTAAAACTACCCACATTCCCTTATTCTCAAAATCAGCATCCAAACCCCCAAAATCAACTTACATTAAATCCCAAATTCATCAAGACTCTTTCCCAAGCCCTCTACTTTCACTCCATCCCACGGTTGCTGCACCAAAAAGTCTAAACCCTTCTTCCACCACCAACTTTTTTACTATAAAATTTACATTCAAACAATTTCTTCCAAATCCTAGTTTTCAAACGCATTACCAAAATTCAATTAATCAAAGTTGCAATTTGATTAAATGTTTAGATAAATCAAAATTCCACAATGGATGTCAATCATGCAATGAGTCTCCTTGCATAAAAAGCATAATTCGAAATATCTAATCCATCATCAAAATATCAATCGTAAAAAATAACAAAAATGAAAAAAAAAAACGAACTTTTTTGGCAGAAAGGTCTTTCGCTTTTTCGTTTCTTTTGTCTTGTTTTGTTTTGTTTAAACAGTCAAAATTACCATAATCTCAAATTGGAAAAAGAAAAGCCGATAGCTATAAATGGATCAGCCCTAAACCAGATCCGATTGTACCCCATATTGCTCATGCACTAGGAGCTGCGTCCTTTACCTTGCTTTGCGAGTAACTGCCATACTCCATAGCATAGTCCTTGACATGGCTGGCAGTGTCGTAAATCCGACTCCGAGCCTAGTCAACCCTGTCTGATCCCGGTGAGTGCATCCCTCTGAAGTAGCGGCACATCCAAGATAACCCTGCAACGGCCACAACTCCGTAGCCGTATGCAGACAAGAACCCGGCAATGGTGACAAAGAGCACGGTGCCTACTGGGAACCATACAGGGCTAGAAATGAGGATCAATGGCATAAACAAGATGAAGCCAAAAAATGCAACAGTGACGGTGAGGCCAGTGAGGATTAGGAGAATTGAGGTAGAAGTAAGGAGGGTCGAGAAACCGAGAAGTTGGGTGGAGTTTGGTGCATGAGCTTGGATTATTCGTAAGAAAGAGGACGTAATGGCGGTGGAACTGGGTCTTGTGGCTCTCTGCTAGCTAGGATTACGCTCAGCCATGGTTGAGAGCTCAGTGGAGGGGAATGGGAAAGGGAAGGTTTGAGAGAGTGTGAAATGGGTTCAAGAGTTAAAAGGTGACGAGAAAGGTCGGCTTTGATGACAGGTGTGCGAAAGTACAGTTTCTGCAGAGATTCAAGGGACACACGTGGAGAAGGCGTGGAGTTTTTGTAGTCCTAGGTATGGGTGCTAGGCCACTGACTTTTTCCTTTTCTTTATGGGTATAGTGGGCATCTCAATTTTCTTCTTTGGTTGAGAAAGATGCTGGGTTCAGCTTTAAGGATTGGAAATACTTTTCTCAATTTTAGATTCTATATACAAAAACCACACATCTAATATATATATTACAACATATAATATTATATGTACAACCTATTTTGATGATACATAGGATAATTTTTAAATATAAAAAAGATAAAATTTTTTAAGACTTACATATACATTTTATCTAAAAGATAGATAAGATAATTTTTTAATTTTAATTGTTTATCAAATAATTTTATTTAACTAATTATTTAATTTTTAAAATTTTAAAATTTTAAAAATTAAATTTATCTAAATCCTTCAATATATATAAATATTATCTTAAATTTAAATCAAAATAAAACAAATTTCATAACTCACACTTACCTATATAATTCAAATTCAAATATAACTTTTAAAGTTAAATCCCTAAATTAAAAAAGGTCAAAATTTGTCATAAGTCCCTATACTTATTGATTTTTAGGAATTTAGTCCCTTTAGTATTATTTAAAGAAATTTGATATTTATAGTATTACTTTTTAAGGATTTCAATCTAATCATTAACAGTATTAAATTTTATCTATTAACTGACTAACGTAATTACTGATGTGGCATTTTCATTGGTTTTTAACATTGTTAATATTGACGTGTATTATAAATTCTGGCCACATGACTACCAAAAAGCCATGTTAGCATTAACATAAATAGTTCTTAAACTTAATAATATCTTAATATCATTAACAAAAAAAACTCTAAAAATTAAAAAATTAAAACCCTAAAAAAATTCTTCACGTAACAAAAAATCCCTAAATCTTCAACACTCATTGAAAGGTTCAGGTCCCTCTAATTCTTTTGTGGAATCAATGAAAACAAAAGGTTTCAAAAGAAATACATTTGTTTCAATAGTTGCTCCTATTGCAAGTTTTGCAGTTTTTGTTTTTTTAGTCATTCCTCTATCCATCTATTGTTATAAAAAGAGAAAAGACAATAAGTTGACTTCAACTTTTTTGGTAATCCACCAAGGGATCCATCTAATTCAGATAATGTGGTTAGAGTTGTTACCGATAGCACCAATGTAAGCAGTTCTACACTAATTGGGAGTGGTTCTACAAATAGAAATATTAGCAGCATTGAAGAGTCTCATGTTATTGAAGTTAGAAATTTGATCATATCAGTTCAAGTTCTTAGAAATGTGACAAAAAACTTCACACCAGGAAATGAGCTTAGCCGTAATGGCTTTAGTGTAGTTTATAAAAGGAAACTAGATGATGGAACACAAATTGCAGTTAAAAGAATGGAGGTTGGCGTGATTACAAGCAAAGTTTTAGATGAATCCCAGGTTGAAATTGTCGTTCTTTCAAAGGTTCAGCACCATCATTTGGTTTCTCTTTTAGGTTATTCTATGTGGGATTCTGATTAGAGTTGAAGATTTGGGGATTTTTTGTTGCGTGAAGAATTTCTTCAACTTTCATGGCTTTAATTTTTTTTTTTTTGTTAATGATATTTAGATATTATTAAGTTTAAGAAATATTTGTGTTAATGCTGATGTGGCTTTTTGGTAGTCTATGTGGCCAAAATTTGTAATACACATTAGCATTAATAATGTTAAAAACTAATGAAAATACCACGTCAACCATTTAATAGATAAAATTTAACACTATTAATGATTGGATTGAAATCTTTCAAAAATAATAGTATAACGACTAAATTCCTTTAAATAATACTATAGAGACTAAATTCTTAAAAATCAACAAATACAGGGACCTATGGTATATTTTAAACTTTTAGAAACTATATAATTCATACACTGTAAAAATCGTATAGAGTGTAAATCAATAGCCTTATAAATTTAATATAAAAAATAGCCTTACAAATTTAAATTAATAGAATTTGTGGTTGAGTAATTATGGTTTACCAATTTTTTTATCTTAATTTAAAATTATACAAAAAAATTTTTATCATAAAATAAAAATATGCATTCTCACTAAATGATTAAAGATTAGAAGATATATAAAGAAGTCATGCAAAAATAAATAGAGTATTTAAGATGCATCCAAGATTTAAACCTCTCTAATATTTAATATTTAATTCAACAATGAATAAATTGTAAGAGGTGGTGGCAGATGATGTCAAAAGCAAATTAGGTCTCAATAATGCAAGAAAAGGCAGTAGTACTCATGATCTTCAAAGGTAAAAATATGTGCATGACTATTAATTTTAATTTATTATTTTATCGTGCTACATGTTTTCTATTTCTTGCTTTTTTTTTTCCCCTATTTCTTGCTTTCTTTCTTGATTATTCAAGTTAATTATCATATTAATCTTGATTTCTTTGAGATTTTCTTTTAATCTATTGTAGATGCCCATTTGATATGTTATATGCCTCTTTGGAATTTTTATTTTTGTATATATAAGCCCTTTTTTATATTATTACTTGCACATTATAGAATAATAATAATAGTGTGTTCATCATAATTAATCAATAAATTGAATATCATAAGTTTGTTTGGATAATTTTTTATTTTTCAATATTTCCAAAATTTTTTTCTTTCTTTTTTTCTTTTTTATTTGGTTGTCTTTAAAAAGAATTTAAGGTTATAATGAAAATTTATTTTTTAGATAAAGAAAATAACATGAATTTTCTTTCCTAATTTTATTTTTCAATTTGCCTTTCGTATTGTCAAGGTTTTTTTTTAATATTAGTTCTTTTCTAATTTACCTTCCATTTGTATATTTTCATTTTAGTTAGGTACTTGGTTAGAAATTGATTAAACTATTTAATTATCACAATGATGTCCTTATCAAAACCATTGCTTCAAATTTCATTGCTTAATGTTACCATTTCAATATTGTATGTAGTATATATAGTATGTTAAGAGATCATCTTGAACCAAGCCTTCACGTTTTGCTCTATATATATGATTATATTTTCTTATTTATTTTTGTCAATTGTGATGATTATGTTGTTAGATATTATGGCCTACATGCTATTATCTAAAATAAATAGCTATTTGTTTATGATTTAATAACTTAAGTTAATAAGTTAAGTAATTATAGTTTCATTTATATTGCTATTAATGGTCATTTTGATTAATATAAATAAAAGAGAGATTTTCTTTCATTGTAAATGCATACGTTGATGGATTAAAAGTTAAAGAAACGCTCACATCTCTGCTTATAAAATAATGCTTTCTGTCTATCAAGAAAGTAATAAAAGATTAAAAGGTCGAGAAAGAAGTAAAAAAAATTATAAACATTTTATTAAAAGAAGTTATAATAGATCACAGTATAATTTTTCTTTAATTAGAAAATTATGAAAATCATCTTGTTTTAAGATCTTGGGCATTAAGATTATGTAAAATTAAGATTCAGTTTGCATAATAAAAAAAATTGAACATGTTGTGTCAAAGCTTTTGGTTTAAGAACTTGTGATTTTTCTTTAAAAATTATTCTCTCTATATTTATTATTATTGATTTTTATGATATATTTTTATATTGATGTTTGCTATTAATTTTGCTTTATATTATATTAAAAGTTAAGAGGTTCAATGTTCTCTACAAGTTAATATTGGCATGGTACATGAAATCCCAAAACAATAATTAAAACTTCTTTTATTTATTTATTTATTTTAGATTTTATTAAACTATTGTTCATTTAATTACAATATAACTCATGTCTTTGCATAAATTTAATATAACAATAAATCGTGTTTATTATATTAATTTATTAATGAAGAAACGTACAACATAAGGAATATATATTTATTAGATTAATGAATATATATATATATATATTAAAAGATATGTAAAACGTAAAGAAAAGTAATAAAGGTTGCATAATAAATGTAAGACAAAATAAATGAAATTTAATAGCCATTAATGTAAATGAATGTTTGACTATTTTATACCTATCTACTTGTTATAATATATATGTTCCATTTTACTATATATGTGAGATACAACAATTATATAAAATTTATATATGATAGTTTTTGGGTATTTTGTTTACTTACAACAGTAACACCTTTTTCATATTATGTTTGGATTATCATTATGTCTATTATTATCAAAATAATAATTATTATTATTTATTTTGATATCTATAGTATGAACAATTTTTTAGTCACCAAATAGGCCAAATTGAAAATTTTTTTAAAGATGTCAAATTAAATAAAATTCAATTACTCATGATTATGTGATGTTATAAATGAGATGACATGACAATAAATATTTATTGAGTAATAATTATAAAATATTTAAGGATCACCTAAAGGAAGATTGGTTAATTTTATAATCATGAACATAATTGTGGTTGATTAATATAATTCATTAGTTATTTTTACATATCCAAAGATAGCAAGTATGTCGAATTGGAGTATATATAATTACCAATTATGTGAAATCAAACTTAGGTATCAATTATGTTTGTTATTGTACATTGTTGGATCACTCAAATGAGAACTTCAATGTACATTTAATGTTAATATGTATGTTATTTAAATCTTTATCATGTATTTAAGTTACAACTCAAAGCATTAATGTATGAGCATTCTATTTATTTTGTATCATCTATTCCTATTTCTTTTCATTCACAAGCTTTGTCTTTTATAAAGTTCAATAGACTTAATTTTTTAAATGGTGTGAACAAGTCTAGTATCATTTAGGTATTTTGGATCTTGATTTGGCACTTCTAACTGATAGGTTTGCTACTATTATTAAATCGAACAGTACTGAACAAAAGTCTTTTCATAATACTTGTGAAAGATCAAGTAGACTGACTTTAATGTTCATACAAATGACACTAGCAAACAATATTAAGTCAACAATTCTCAAAGTTGATAATGCTAAGAATTTTTGAAGTTTGTGAAAGATATGTCTTAATTTGACTCAGCTAATAAGTCACTTATT